GCGCGCTTTTTCGTTCTGGCCCCTCCCTCGTGTCGTTTTTCCCTCCCCCCCCCCCCCCCCCCCCCCCCTTTAGGGCTGTCTGTCCCCCCTCACCAATGCTCTGGTGATAGGGTAGTCCTTGACCTACAACAGTGCATTTAGTGACCGTTCCAAGTCCCAACGGCACTGAAAAAAGGGAGTTTTTCACCATGACAAACTTTGCAGCATTCCCCATGATCATGTGATCAATATTCAGAGAGAGGCTTGGCCTCTGGACAGTTGGAAGAGGACCTTGGAGGTCATCTAGTCCAACCTCCTGCTCACACAGGAGACCTGAACTAGGGATTTGAACCGCCGAACTACCAACAGTTCTGATTGACAAGCTTAGTGTCTTAGCCACTGAGCCACCTAGTCAGGCTGTGTCCAGAGTTCAAGGGATCCCCTTTTGAAACCTTCTGACAAGCAAAGTTGATGGGGAAGCCCGATTCACTTAACAACCTGGTCACTAACTTATCACCTGCAGTGATTCACTTAACAACTGTGAGGGAAGGTCATAAAATGGGGGCAAAATTCACTTAGCAAATGTCTCGCTTAACCACAGAAAATTTGGGCTCAATTATAGTCGCAAGTTGAAGACTACCTGTGTTTGGGGAGGGTGACTTCAAAAGTCAATTTTTGATTTTTGGCTGGACAAGTCTGCAAGGGTTTTTTTTTGGCAAGATCAGTGGTGGGCTCCTCCCGGTTCAGCCCAGTTCCGCCGAGCCAGTAACGGTGACGATATGACGTCACCGAACTGATTCTGCCCACCCTCACCTCCGTGTTATTCTTACCTTTTATTTGGCCCCATCCCCAATCTATTGCTGCCTCCTGAGTCCCAGCTGATAGGCTATAAGGAAAAAAACTGTTTAAACTCTTGCCGTGGGGCTTCAAAGGGCTGCCCTACAGCTGATCAGTGGTAAAAGGCAATTTGGTGGTAGACCAGTGCCTGCAAAAATAAATGGGTAGACCAGTGCCTGCAAAAATACATGAGTAGACCAGTGCCTGCAAAAATAAATGAGTAGACCAGTGCCTGCAAAAATAAATGGGTAGACTGGTACAGCTCTGCAAGCAGTTAAAAACATGGTAGACCAGTACCTCTGCTAGATCCTAAAGAATTGTCACATGACCATCAAGCCACGCCCACAAAATAAGCCGTGCCCACAGAACCGGTAGTAAAAAAATTTAGAACCCACCCCTGGGCAAGATCTTTAAAGTGGATGCCATTGCCTGCATCCAAGGGCTGAGAGAGAGGACTGGCCCAAGGTCACCCAGTTGGCTTTATGTGTAGTGGAACTAAAATGCGAGTCTACCAGTTTTTAGTCTAGTGCCTTAAACTCTGTGCCAAATTAGCTGTCATTATCTTTCACCTTATATTTAGATTATTCTCTGTGATCAAAAGAACAGCTATCCTATGATTTCGTATGTTTTCTTCACACACCTTCCCCTGTAATGCAAATTTTAATAGACTTTTCTATTAGACTGTTGTGTACAAGATCAATATTATTACTTTGTACACTTGAGTCAGCCTTGATTACTTGTGAGTACAAAAACAAATCCCTGCAGTTTTCTTGGAAGCTTTTTTGGATGTGGTTTATTATTCCTTCTTCCTAGGGCTGGAGAAGGAAACCTGTCCAAAGTTACCCAGCTGGATTCATGACTAACATAGAATTCACATTTCTCTGGTCAACGTTCACATCTTAACCACTAGACCACAGCAAAACGAAGCAAAGATAGTACCAATAGTAATGAGTAAATTACTTGGGTACAATCCCAAAACATCTGACACAGCACTCAAACACCATTGGCATTGACAAAATTATTGTCAGTCAATTGCAAAAGACAGCTTTACTTCGAACAGCTCATATCTTACAATGATACCTCTAACATCATCACAACATCTTCCTATCCCAGGTCCTTGGGAAGGACTCAATAGATGGATAAAAATGCCAAACCCAGTCTGAACATCTGGATGATTATACGACCACCACCAATAATAATAATAATAATAATAATAATAATAATAATAATAATAATAATAATAATAATAATAATAATAATAATAATTTATTAAATGCATATATTGTTTCATGCCTCCTTCCCCATTTAATACAGATTTTGGATATTGGATATCTCTTTTGCCTCTTCCTTCTTATGAAAGTAGTTTCCTTCAACTGAATTCAGCTTCCAGAAACTTCATGGACATATTGGATGTACACATGCTGTATTTTGACATTCCTCCACAGACCCCTTTCACATTTTAGGTATATATTAGGGGGGGTTCTTATTGCCTAAATGGTTGTTTCTTCTTCTTCTTCTTCTTCTTCTTCTTCTTCTTCTTCTTCTTCTTTCTTCTTCTTCTTCTTCTTCTTCTTCTTCTTCTTCTTCTTCTTCTTCTTCTTCTTCTTCTTCTTCTTCTTCTTCTCCTCCTCCTCCTCCTCCTTCTCCTCCTCCTCCTCCTCCTCCTCCTCCTCCTCCTCCTCCTCCTCCTCCTCCTCCTCCTCCTCCTCCTCCTCTTTCTTCTTATTTACTTTATTCATTAAAAATGAAACTCAGTCAACTGAACATTCAAAAATGCATCACAAATACCATTGACTGGTGCTAATGGTTGATAGGGGTTGCTGCCAGCGTCCTAGGTATCAACCAAGTACTTTCTTAAGATGTACAATGTTCCAAATAGTGCAGTTTTTTGCAGTTCCTGTGCAAATTTGTTGATGTACCTTTTAAAATTCTTGGACATGGTACCCAGTGTCCCAATGACAATGGGTATCACTGTTAGATGTTTCATCCATAGCCATGTAGTTTTGATGGCCAGGTCGCAATATTTCATGATTTTTTCCAGTTCTTTTTCTTTGACTCTGGCATCTCCTGGTACAGCAATGTCAATAAACTGTATGCTTCGGCCCTCAACAACCATGATATCTCGTGTGTTGTGTTCCAAATGACGATGATTATTAGTATTATCTCTTTTATTCATTAAACATGAAACTCAGTCAACTGAACATTTAAAAATGTGTCACAAATATGAGTGACTGGTGCTAATGGTTGATACGGGTTGCTGCCAGCATCCTAGGTATCAACCAAGTATCTTCTTAAAATATATGATGTTCCGAGTAGCGCAGGGTTTTTTTTAAATTATTATTATTTCCACGTTTCCTCTGACTTCCTAATTTTACCATGAAGTATGGAGAGACAGAGGCAGCTTAAGATGAAGTTGATAACGAGCATCCCATTTATTCTGTCAGCACATCCTGTGTGGTCAGTTATGGTTTGCAATGTTAACAGATTAACAGTTTAACAGAGTTGGAAGGGACCTTATAGGTCATCTAGTCCAATCCCCCACCCAAGCAGGAGACCCTACATCATTTTTGACAGATGGCAATCCAGTCTCTTCTTGAAAACTTCCAGTGATGAAACTCCCACAACTTCTGAAGGCAAGCTGTTCCATTGGTTGATTGTTCTCACTGTCAGAAAGTTCCTCTTTATTTACAGGTTGAATCTCTCCTTGTTCAGTTTCCATCCATTATTCCTTGTCTGGCCTTCAGGTGCCTTGGAAAATATCTTGAACTCTTCCGCTCTGTGGCAACCCCTTAAATATTGGAAGACTGCTATCATGTCTCCCTGGTCCTTCTCTTCACTAGACTAGCCATGCCCACTTCCTGTAACCATTCTTCATATGTTTTAGTCTCCAGTCCCCTAATAATGTGTTATGTGAACCCAGGTTCTTGAGATAAATCAGTTCATTGTGGAGCCCATTGAGCTCCAAAGCAACATTTGTCTTCTCCTACTGCAGTCTGTAATATACCATAAAGCAGGGGTGAAATCCAACAGGTTCTGACATGTTCTGGAGAACCAGTAGTGGAAATTTTGAGTAGTTCGGAGAACCAGCAAATACCACCTCTGGATGGCCCGAGTGTGGAGGGAATGGGGATTTTGCAGTATCCTTCCCTTGCCACGCCCACCAAGCCACACCATGCCTACCAAGCCACGCCCACAGAACCGGTAGTAAAAAAAATTGGATTTCACCATTGCCATAAAGATGAATCGTTGCCATACCAACATATTCTGTTCTCTTCCTTCTTCTCTGTCCATTTCCCACACTTTACATTTTGTGTGCGAAGAAGAGAAATATATTGTGAGATTAACTAGCATAACTCTTTGTCTTCGCCTTTTAACTAATTTTAATTTCTTGCCTCCTCTTATTTATTTTTTATTTTAACTTTTATATACACTGTTTTATACTTTAACACTTTATTCTACACCACCCAGAGTCCCTCTCTGAGGGAGATGGACAGTACAGAGATGTGACCAACAAACAAACAACTCTTTGGGGAGTGGGGGTTTACAGCCACATTTTTCAAAGTAGTCTGTTCCAGAGATGGCATTCAACCGGTTTGCACTGGTTCGGGCAAACTGGTAGCGGCGATCGCGGATGGACCCGCCCCGCACGATGCTGTCTTATTTAGCCATGTTTTCGAGGCCGGGCACATGGGCGGAAGTCGCACGCATGACGAACTGGTGGTAACAATATATGAAACCCACCTCTGGTCTGTTCCATGGAGTAGTCTTTTGTAGATGAATTGGCTGAGTGTGGGCATGATAATTCTGTTTAACAAATGATTTTATTGTCCATTTTTTGGCATTGATCCCAAAATAAAATAAACCACATTCAGATGAGTTCACCTATGGATTAAATAGGATCTACTCTGTGTTAGGGTTATGATTTAGTTAGTTATAGTTACCTTAAAGATAAAATCATCTGCAGATTAAATCATGTTATAGTTTATCATTGGCTTTAGGAACAAACTATGTATGGACTACCTAAAATCAAATTTACATAAGGTTGTGAAGTCTGGACATGAAAGGGTTGGCTTTTTGGCCAAAGTTTCTGCTAAACACATTCCTGAATTCTTAATTCAAGACATCATTGGCCAGTAGACAGCCTTTTTTTCAAGGCAATTTGAAACCGTTTGAAAAATGTTTTTTCTTCCAACTCAGACATGATCTACCCTAATAGATCTACCTTACTGATCTTCCTAAAAATTATATTTTTGATTTGGGCTGATTCGATAGTTCATAGTGTCGAGCCATGTTCTGCAATGGTAAGGTTTGTGTTGTATTGCCTTGATAAATGATAGAAACATTGACAGCAAATCCTGATTTCAAGTGACATTGTTTATTTCACCCCAAACCACTTCATTTGTTTTGAAAGATTTCTGTTAAAACTGTATTGAAACAACTAGCAACAGCAACTGTTCTTGCTTTTTCCTGTTGTTTGATGTAGATTCTGTGAAATTTGCTGCAATTTACTAGGAATTTTGATATTAACTTCTGCAAAGGCAGGAAAAGTTACCAGATCATTAATAAAAGTAAAACATGGAGGCATTTCTTTTGATAAATTATATGGGAGTGTTGCAATCTTTAGTCTAGTTCCTAGATGCATCTGGAGATAAGTGCTTGTTTTATTGCACATCTTTATATTAACAAAGGGGGGAAGTTGTGGGTTTTTTTTGGGGTAATTCCTTTTGTTTGTTATAATTTTATCTGGAGATTCAAACTGGATTTGAATGAAGTTCTGGATATTTTAAAGACCAATTTACTCTTTGCTTTTAAGTGTGGACTTTATCTGTTTTAAGTGACTAAAAGTTCTGGAAATTCTTTTTTATTATTATTATTCTATTTTTTTTCCTGTCAAAGGATTAGGATTAGGTGAAAGGTTTAATTAGTTTATTCTCGGTTTATATATCCCATAACATATCTAATTTCAGCCTCTGCCCATTACATTTTGTTATTCTTTTAGGGAATGTGCTGAAGATATGATGATGAATTTCTATAGAAACAACAAAGTAAATAATAATTGAGAACTCCACAGATATTTAGTGGAAGTCTATCCAATTGTATTCAGTGGAGTTTCAATCTATACTAAATGCATTTAAGAATTTTCCAAATACAGATTTAGTTTTTACTTTCAAAGGAGAATTCTACAATGAGTATCACTTACTGTGAACTATTCTAAGGGGATATATGTTTATGAGGATAAAAAGGCCCAGTAGAAATATTTAAATAACCAAAGCATTTTTTCTCCCTGGTTTCAAAAAAAAATAGTTCAATATATTGTTTTTCTTTTATTCTAAAAATAAAATAAATATTTAAATAGTTATCACGAACATTTGATTTCAGGTCTGATATAGAAACTCTTCCAAAAAGGTATGTTTATATCCCAGAATAATTTTCTCTAAGCTTTTTTACTTTAGATTTTTTTTAAATCCAGCCCTTTATTATTTTTATAAATAACTCAAGTGGCAAACATACCTAATACTCCTTCATCCTCTTTTTCCCACAAAAGTAACCTTGTAAGATTAGTTGGGCTGAGAAAGAGTGATAGATCCAAAGTCACCCAACCATTTTTCATGCCTAAAGCAGGACTAGAACTCATGTTCTCTTGGTTTCTAATCTGGTGCCTTAACCACTAGATCAAACTGTCTCTCTTCAGATCTTACAAATTTAGTTTTTGAAATTTCCCAACAACTACGTTGCCTGGGAATTCTGAGAACGGCAGCCCAAACACAGCCCAAGGTGTCAAATTGTATCCAAAGCATGTGTTAATATTCTGCATACACCTACAAGTTTGATGCATGAATAATAATAGTACTTAGTTTTATATACTAAGTTTTATTTCATAGTGCAATATGAAACATCATATTGGCTTGCAAAATACATCGCAGATTAGAGATCTAGGCTTCCATAGAAGAGAGTGAGTACACTTGAGATTAGAATGGGGCTTAGTTTTGCTCATAGTTCACTGGTGAAAATGTGACAGAGTGATTGGCACTGTCCTTATGTCTAAAATTCTGTTTAGATAAAGCACCACCACAGCAAACAAAGAATGCAGTCACCATGTGTTTTACTCCTCAACTATATTACAGTAACAGGAAACAGGAAACTACTCAGAACAAAAGAGCATAGAGTATATACCCATGATGGCGAACATTTTTTAAGAAATTAAGTTTTGTTTGATTTAATGTTACAGGGCAATTCCACAGCAACCATAGCGGCAGAGCCCGCCAATCTAGTAACAAAAAATCTCTCCACGGACAATTTAGAGAAGAAAAAGAATGAGGCATCTTCTTATTCTCAACCTAAACTATTAAGGGAAGAAAAACACTATATGTGTCGTATGTATATTTTTATTTTAACTACTCTTTCTTGTCATTTGTTATTTGAGGCCAATTGACCTATATATAATATATATGTAGGATTTCAGGAATCTGCAACCCATCAATTTAAATCTCTGACAAAGAGTTATATGATAGGGTATATAACATATCGCTCTTTGTGAAATGGTAAAATTTCAATTTCATCAATTAGCAACTGTTGTTTTCTTACACATGCCATATCCATCATTGTCACGGATCCTCCTACAGATTACTTCTCACAGTATGGAATTTTTTACATTAAGAAATAAAATATTGCTTTCTCTCACACAATATGTTTCTATCCATATATGCTAAATTTCTCAACACCACCCATATTGGTATTTGGCAGTACACTACTTATGAACTGATCTTTTTGGAGAAAGCCAGTTAATAGTTTTTTTTTCCATGATGATGAAATAAATATCATTTTTCCAGACCATTGTGTTGAAATTCTAATTTGTTTCAAAATGTTTTACATCTAGTATCACAGACATTTACAAGAACCATATACTAAAGTATTTGGCTTGTTAGCTCAATATTATCTGTATCTATTATATATTTGAATCAATATTATCTATTCTATATTCGAATTTGACAGTTTGAATCTCACCAGGTTGATTCAGCCTTCCATCCTTCCGAGGTGGGTAAAATGAGGACCCAGATTGTTGGGGGCAATAGGCTGACTCTGTAAACCGCTTACAGAGGGCTGTAAAAGCACTGTGAAGCAGTATATAAGTCTAAAAGCTATTGCTATTTCTGACAGATGGTTTTTCTTTCCTGCTAACGGTAGTTATGATTTTTTTCTGGAGCTGAGTTACCACTTTTCATTACAGCCCATCTCCTTTTAAAAAAAAATCAAATTCTGTTTAAAAAGGTTTTGCACAAACAAACCCATTTCATATGGCTAGCAAAAGAAAAACCGAAAACAATGTTCCACATTACCTCTTATAATTATACAATGCATTCTTTTAATTACTTTAACATAGCTGGCAATCTATATGTTTAAAGGGAATTTGCAGAATTCTCTCATTGAATATGCAAGAAGTACTAAGAAGATGATACGGAATATGATGGATGATCACCAGTCTTCTCTAGATTATCTCTCCAATCAGGTAATGGCCAATATTTGCTAAATGGATTTCTTTTTGGGCAATGATAATATAATTGAATTGTTGACAATTAACAGATAATGTGGGCACTTTCTCTGAAAACAGCTTTATATTGTTGTGGGGAAAAATATTGTTCTGTCTTACAATGTCTGAAAAAAAAAATAACTCCACCCTTGAAGGCTATGAAAAGGCCATTTACATAGCTGGAAATCTAAATAAGAATCTTGAAATTTGTTAAGAATTCTTCACTTTGACCGCAAATAGTTAGAAACTTTGATTTTTTGAAAGAACAGATATGACTTGTATGATCAAATATTAGGGGTAATTCCAGTGGTGGGATTTAAATAATTTAACAACCGGTTCTCTGCCCTAATGATTTCTTCCAACAACCAGTTCATCAAACTGCTCAAAAAGTTAACAACCGGTTCTCCCGAAGTGTGAACTGGCTGAATCCCACCACTGGGTAATTCATTTAATCATCTTAATTTAGGTTATTAAGGGATTGGGGAGTCAATGCATGCCAAAATCCAAGACTAGTCACAAGGGACATGATTCTCATGGTTGGACAAGGCAAGCAAGTTTTAAAAAATCCAAATTGCCAACATACAGGTGTCCTCGACTTATGACTGTTCATTTAGCGATGGTTCAAAGTTACAAGGTCACTGAAAAAAGTGACCATTTTTTAAATTTAACAACCGTTGCAACAGCCTGGATGGTCGTGCGATCAAAATTCAGACCCTCGGCAACTGACTCATATTTATGACGGTTGCAGTGTCCTGGGGGCTTCTGCCAACCTAGCAGTTCGAAAGCACGTAAAAAATGCAAGTAAAAAAATAGGGACCACCTTTGGTGGGAAGGTAACAGTGACCATGGAGATGTCTTCGGACAGCGCTGGCTCTTCAGCTTTGAAACAGAGACGAACACCACCCCCTAGAGTTGGGAACGACTAGCATTTACGTGCGAGGTGAACCTTTACCTTTTTAAACAAGCAAAGTCAATGGGGAAGCTAGATTGACCTAACAACCATGTTATTAGCTTAGCAACTGCAGTGATTCACTTAACAACTGTAGCAATAAAGGTTGTAAAATGGGACAAAATTTACTGGATAACTGTCTCACTTAGCATCAGAAATTTTGGGCTCCATAGCGGTCGTAAGTCGAGCGCTACCTGTAATGAGGATTCAGGTAGAACAGGAAGTGATACAAAGAAAAGAAAGTCTTGAAACATGTTCATTGCTGTTGTCCTTTTTAGAACTCCACTCTTGTACATGCTGTCATAGCAGGGTGAAAGAAAACTTTTAGAGGCAACAGCAATAGCATTTAGACTTATATACCGCTTCACAATGCTTTCCTGCCATCTCTAAGTGGTTTACAGAGTCAGCCTATTGCCCCCAATAATCTAGGTCCTTATTTTACCGACCTTGGAAGGATGGAAAGCTGAATCAACCTTGAGCCAGTGAGAATCAAACTGCTGGCAGTCGGCAGAATTAGCTTGTAATACTGCATTTTAACCACTGCACTACCATGGCTCAAAGGAACTTCCTAAGGCAGGGGTGTCAAATTCAATTTCATTGAGGGCCACATCAGGGTTGTGGTTGACCTTGGGGGTTCAGGTGGATGTGGCCGATGGGGTGGGTGTGGCTAACTGGGTGGGTGTGGCCAGCTTGATGCCACTCACTGGGCGTGGCTGACTGGGTGGGTGTATTTCCTCTTTGCACTGGGTAGACCGGGCCTAAGCCATGCTGGCCCGATATTTCCTCTTCGCATTGGGTAGACCAGGACGAAGCCGCATTGGATAGACCGGGCTGAAGTGATGTGGGCCGGCCCCTTACATTTTCCAGGACAGCCCCGCAGGCTGGATCCGGCCACATCGCGGGCCTTGTGTTCGACACTCCTAAGGGAAGTTTCCCTCAGAACAAAGAGGAACTACAGTGAACAGGGGGCCTCTGCTGCAGACACAATTCCAACGTGTTACCTCCCCAAGATGTTTTCATTTTCAAAAAAACTTGCACACCTGGCCAAATTGCATAAATACTATGAACTGTGGGGGAAAAGATCAGCCAGAAAAACAGGAAAAAGATATAGCAAACCACTGTGATCTGTGGATCTTTTGTATTATCTCCAACAATAGAGCCCCATGAATATTTAAAAATCTTTTTTTCTCCTTTGAATAAAGATGGGCTCATGACTGGAAAACAGCCCTGAAATTCTTACATGCAAATCCTTTGGCATTTTCTTGGATTGTGGTCCACATCTGTGTATCTGGTCATGCCAACTTCTGTGCAAATGATTGGAACATTCCTCCCTTTCTACTATTTTCTCGAGCCAATGAAATGCAAAGACAGCTCTAAAATACAATGCCTTAAGGCACTGATTTCAAACTTTTAGCTTCTAAAAATCTTGGAACTAACTTTTTATGCTCAAGAACTACAGAAAAATGATTTTTTTTTTTTTGGTGGGGTCACCCTAAACAGTCTGCCAAATCCATAACAATGCATTGCTTAGAATTAAGTCCCTTTTTATGCAATAGCGTTTTCCTCCAAGTACATTAATTGCAGCACAGGAATTATTTAATTTCAATGGGCTCATATCCAGTGTTAGCATTACAAAAGCAATGACCAAAGAAATATACTATTGAGTACTCCCACATGTTGAAGATTTTTAAACATTTCTCTTTTTGATTATGCAGATTAATGAACTTATGAGCCGAGTTATGCAATTAAATGCAGACATGTCCAGAAAACCAATTGATGTATTTCCCCATCGAGCAGTCCAGTCTCATGGTAAAGGTTTTTTAAAAAAAATTCCTGCTTAGATTTTACAGTATTTATTGAAATATGTATTGAACTATAAGACAGCATGTTTCTACCATAAAAGTGATACATCCGATGCGGTGTTTTTTTTTTATTACCGTTTTTGAAGGTGGATTGTTGCTTGTTTCATTCTGAATAGGTGACAAATGCTTACTCACTATCTGGAATGCTGTGAGAATTTACAGGTCAAATCACCTATAGCTAATTTTGGAAAAGGAAGCAGAGTAAAATGATTATTAATATTGTATCCATCACCTGCTTCAGCCCCCTACTTTGAACTCCCAATTATGTCTTGCACATTTATCTGAAGCCTTTGGCAACTTTGATATTTATTTTATTTTATTTTTTAAAAAAATTTTATACCGCCCCCTCTCCTGAAGGACTCGGGGCGGTATATTTGATGTGATTGAGCCATAGCCTAGGACTGTGATGGCGAACCTATGGCACGCATGCCCAAAGTGGCATGCAAAGCCATGTCGCCTGGCATGTGCGGTGTTGCCTGTTTGTCTTCTGGGTTTCTGGCGCGCATGCGTGTGCAACTATCAGCTGTCTATCACGTGTGCGGCAGTGCCAAGAACCAGTGTGCGCATGCATGCCGGCCAGCTGATTGTCGGGTGCGCATGCGTTCCAGAACCCGGAAGTTCAGCTTTTCCGGAGCGTGATCCCTTCACCTGCGTGGCAGTGCAAAAAACCAGCCTGCACATGTGCGCCGGCCAGCTGATCATCAAGTGTGCATGCGCGCTAGAACCTGGAAGTTCAGCTTTTCTGGAGCGTGGCTGTAATGAGTATGCACGCGTACAACATTTCCACACAACCTTTTTGGCTCTCGGTTTGCCATCATTGCCCTAACATACCTTATATTTTGTTTATGTTATGTTCTGATAAAATAACATTTATCAGAACATCTGAAAAGTTTGAAGCTTGTCCTGATATCAGTGGGAACTGTACCAGTTAATGGGCTAAAACAATACTGTAGCCAGTTTCCCATAATAGTCTTTTGTTTCACTTTAAAAAGGAAAGAAAACAGAATAACAAAATGGGAGTAACTGATAAACCTAAGCAGGATGCCCTCCTTTAAACCTACCTTCCTCCCTCCCTCCCCCCCCCCCCCCCCCTCTCCCCCGAACTGGTAGCGGAAATCGCGGGTGGGCCTGCCCACTTGCCCCGGCTCCAAGTCATGGTATTTAGGCACGTTTTTGAGGCTGGGCGCATGCGTGGATGCACACACACTCACATTTGCGAACCAACCGGTAGGGAAAGTAAGGGAATACCACCCCTGCTCTCCTCCCTTTCCCGTCCCTTCCCTTCTTTCCTTCAGTGTTCAATGAAGCATGTACAAGTTTTCCTCTCCATTTTTTTCTGCACAACAACCATCCTGGGAAGAAGTCTAGTCTAAGAGATAATGATAGTCTAAATTCATCCCTTGACTTTCCATCACACAAGGTGATCTTTCAAGTTCTACTCTTAACCCCAGCAATGATAAAATCACACAAAATCTATTTGAACCTATGGACAGCCCCAATTCCTAGGGCAGAAAGAGGCAAGTGAGGTCTCCCTTCCCTTTCCTATCTTCATTTTTCCATAACAGAGTCTGGGACCTTCATCTAGAACAGGCATTTCCAATCTTTTGGCTTGCCTGGGCCACACTGGGTGAAGAGGAACTGTCTTGGGCTGCATATAAAATATATAATATAGATAATGTATATAAAAGCACATAATGTTAAAAGTCTCTTGTGGGCCACATTACTACCTGTCCAGGGCCATATGCACCCTGTAGGCTGCAAGCTGGAGATGCCTGATCTACAGCTTTCGTAACATTGTTTTTTATAAGGAAACAAACCCAGATTAAAATATTTCTTGAATGCAGGATCTTCTTGGCTTCTGAAGATTTCCACCTATCATAACTAGCCAGAATCCTTTTAAATTGGGGACAAAAGAATAGTCCTGTCAGTGGAAAAAAAAAATTACCCCACATCTCTCAGATCTATTGTAGAGGGAATTCCATGTTCAAGAGTTGAGATATTGAACTCTGGTCCCTGGTCTGAAAAAGGATCTTTCATTTAACTAAAACATCCCTTTGTAATGTTGTCCTGTCCTGTAGGTTTAGATTGCAGTGATATTAAAGATACCATTGGATCAGTTACAAAAACTCCAAGCGGTTTATATATAATCCATCCAGAAGGAGCAAGTTATCCCTTTGAGGTAATATTGATTTTTCCTATTTACTATTTGCTTGAATGTTTTGTCCTTAGGACAGATTATCCACAGGAAACCTGACCATGGTCTATTCAATTAATCCAATGTTCTGGCTTCACAGAATGCTAGACAGGCTAGGCTTAAAAAGGGTTAGCCATAAAGCTTGGATAAGATTCAATGGCAAAGTTAGGCAAAATTTTAGGAAATCTCCAAAAGAGGAAAATTATTTTGTACAGAATTGTAGTTTTGACAAATCAAAACTATAGGACCTCATGATATCTGGAATCATAAGCCCGTCTTTCCCACCCTTTGCTCACCTGCCCACCAATAGAAAGCTCCTGGACAAAAAGTATTTTCTTAGATAGATGTTTAGCCTTAGCTAAACTTCATGATTTTATGACAAAATAGACTCAGAACAGAACTGCACATAAAACAGTTCCAGAGTTCTAAGCTGTTAACCTCCCACCATTCTTGGGTTTATCCCAACACTGTTGCTTACAAAATGAGTGACTAATAAAAACCTAAGAAAATGTGCTTTCAATTCAGCACATCGATGAAACTCTGCAGGAGACTTCATAGAAAAAACGCAGCATAAAAAGTGAGCCAAAGTTATATTTTCAGAGTTTAATAATAGCAATAGCACTTAGACTTATATACCGCTTTGTAGTGCTCTACAGCTCCCTGTAAGCACTTCTTACAGAGTCAGCATATTGCCCCCCCCAAATCTGGGTCCTTATTTTACCAACCTTGGAAGGATGGAAGGCTGAATAAACCTTGAGCCAGTCAGGATCAAACTGCTGGCAGTTGGCAGAATTAGCCTGCAATACTGCATTCTAACCACTGCTCCACCATGGCTCTAATATTTTGGAATGCAATCGATCAATTTGTGATCAGCATGATCAACAGCTCAACATTTAAAAGATCTCATAAAAGTTAGAGAATTTAGAAAAGTACTCCTTGATATGAATGGAAGGAGAGTCCTGAAAGCGAAATTTTGAACTCTTTTGAATTAAAGGAAAATGTAAATGTGGAAATAAAGAAACAAACGATGAAACTGAAAGGTAAAACATTGAACCTTTAGTTTAAAATATTATAAGATGAATAAATATAGGCTGCAGTCCTATACAATATTTTCTGGGAGAAACTGGGTTTATTTCTGTGAAAATATGAAAGGGGAGTTGTATTTTAAAACCGGCATACTTTGAAATCATTTGCATTTTTTTCCCAAAAGCAATGAATTCATTTTTCCCCTATGACTTAGAAAGCATGGAATGTTTCAGCATACACTGGAATATTTTCAGAAATGACAAAAATTGTTTCAACCAATGTTAACTTTTTCCCAACTCTTAGAAATTAATACCAGTGTCTACAAAAATTGAAGTCATCAAATAAATGGAAATATTTAGTTGTAAATTTGGATATAGATCAGAAACCAATGGAAAAACATGTTATAACATATAATACTGTAAAATGAGGAATGAAATTTCAAGTTTCAGAGGGATCAAAACAGGGGTGAAATGCTACCGGTTCGGACCGGTTTGGCCGAATTGGTAGCGGCGGTGGCACATGGTTTGGAGAACCGGTAGCAACGGCAGCATGAGGTTCCGCCCACCTGCCCGGATGTCATTACTTCCTGGTTTTAACCAGGAAATAACCTGTTTTTGACCCTCTGCACATGCACAGAAGGCTTTACACAGAGGGTCCAAAATTGCACATGATGTGCGCAGAGCATGCACTTCCGAACTGGTAGGGAAGGTAAATAGATCAAGACCAAGAAGTATCAAAAAAATTAGGTCTCCTGGTTTAAACACCAAAGAAATTATATTCCTGAACATGTAGCAGGAAAAAAAGCACTCCTTCCCTCACTGGATATGACATCAAACAACAAAATACTTACAATTATGGTGCCCTTCTTTTGTGTGCAGATCCAAATTGTTAAGAATTATTTTACACCCATGAAAATTTCCTTGCCTGCTTTCAAAATTGAAGACGCAACCACATATTATTTACTGATCCAATAACCACGGGTCATTAAAATATTTAGAAAATATTCCTTTCTAAACAGACAAAACTGTGCAGAATATACCATCAGATAGCCACTTTTAACAATTTTAATTTTTTTTTAAAAAAAAAATCCTCTTGTATATTTTGTTTGAAGTTGCAGGGTCTGCGGGTTTTTTTTACATTGCAGATAAAATTGTATTATTATTTTTTTAAGAAAAGCTTATGACTCCTGATAAAATTTGTTAGTCTGAATATGCTACCAGACTCTTACAGATTCTCAGCTGCTTGCAAAACATAAGATCCAACTCCATACATATTTACATTCCATATGGACATTAGAATTAGTTTTGTTTCATTCAGGGGGAAAAGTCCACATGCTGCATTTGTAACTTGTTAATAATTCATTACATCCAGGGCCGGATTTAGATGAAAAGAGGCCCTAGGCTATTCCACTTATGAGGCCCTTTCACCTATAGTGAAAGTGTAATTTTAATTTTGCTAACAATTTGAATGTAGGCCCCTCTTGAACTTGAGGCCCTAGGCTGAAGCCTAGTTAGCCTATAGGAAAATCCGGCCCTGATTACATCCATAAGGCAAGTTTTCACTGGGACCACCAGTTGGTTTATTGGGGATCCTTAATTTTATTCCCATGCAACCTCTGATTTAGGTCAGGTGGAAAAAGAAAGACTGGCCTCAAATCACTCAGTCAACCTAGGTTTCCTCTGCTCTAACCCAACATCTTAACTGATGCATCACATTGGCTCATGACAGGATTCTTTTGCTGCCTTAATCATTTTAGGTTTTGTGTGAAATGGATTTTAGAGGAGGGGGCTGGACAGTGATTCAGAAGAGAACTGAAGGAACAGTTGAGTTTCAAAGGACATGGTCTGAATATTTGGATGGATTTGGCGACCTTTCAGGTATCAATTTATTATTCATGCTACAGCTCTTCCTAGTTACTCAAATGTAGCTCAATGTCCTAATGTATGGGTCAAAACAGCAGACAATTACAATAAACATTTAGCTTACAAACTTCTGTGGTCTTAGATGTAAAAGATTCATGACAACTGCAGCCATCTTCATCTTCAAATGATACTAGAGGAGATATCTTAGAACTGTGATAGTGAACCTATGGAACGTGTGCCACAGCTGGCATGCAGAGCCCGCTCTGCAGGCAAGTGAGCCGTCGCCCAGCTCAGCTTTATCGCTCATGCGCGTGCGCGCCTCCCACCAGCCAGCTGATTTTTGACATGTGCGGGGGTGAGGCGCATGTGGGAGATGCATGCGCATGCGCAGGGGTGGTCACATGCACATGTGCGGGGGCGGGGGACTGTGGGGGGTGCAGTGCACCCCCAACGGCCCGTTTTTGGGCCCAGGAGGCTGCAGGGAGGCCTGCTAGGCCAAAAACAGGGGGCGGGGAGGTCACGCGCATGCGATGGGTGGAGTGGGGGGTTGTGCGCATATGCGCAGGCAGGGGGCCACATTGCACTATAGGTGCCGGCACGTGCGTGCTTTTACTTTCGGCACACAACGAGAAAAAGGTTAACCATCAATGTCTTAAAATGATCTGAAAGGTCAAGTCAGGAAATTCTGAAGAATTCAAATATCAGATGGGAGAACAAGAACGAGGCCTGCTTTTCTTCTAACACCAGAGAACTGTAAATGGAAAGTTTAAATAGTGAGATCCCCTTATGAACTGGTGTTAAATGATTTAAAATGCTTAGGGGAATCCATGTTTCTGCAAGCCATGGTCAAGTGACCATGGAGGGTGGGGGGATGATGTCAGATTTTGAAACTGGATCATAAGTAGGTTTTGGGGGGTTCATTGGAATCTTGAGTGCTAAGAGACTGGTAGTAAAGTGAAGACTACCTTTATGAAACTAGAGTTGATGATGCTGAATGGGACATTGATTTGGGAAATGGAAAATTGACCATACAGATATAAAAGAATTTCTCCATATTTCCCACCAGGATCAGCTGCTGGAGGGGCCGGCAACAGTTAGTTTCAGAGAAAGCTGTGAGAACATGGGCAAGGCATAAGGATTTTTCAATTCTATATTCTGTTTTTTTGAATAGGGGAATTTTGGCTCGGTCTCCGAAAGATTTTCCACATAGCAAACCAGAGAGAAACCAGTTTCATGCTTTATATAGACTTGGAGTCTGAAGATGACATGTATGCGTATGCATCGTATGACAGCTTTTGGCTAGAGGATGAAGTGTGCTCCTTCAAAATACATCTAGGACGTTATTCTGGAAACGCTGGTAAGATTTGGGGGCCCAAATAGTCGGTTTTTGAAAGCAAGTTTCTACAATACGGGGAAATATTGTCTGTAGCTGCACTGGCTAGTCCAGAACCAAATCACAAAGAAAGAATACACCCAGGTCCTTTTCAACCCAACTCTTTATGTTACAGTGGCCAAAATGGCCTCTGGTTTTAGGCTCTTTGACAAAAAAAAAGTCCATGGGCCATTTGCAGAATGAATTATTCATATCAGCTATAAGTAAACAGCTAAAATTAAATCAAGTTGCTGTCATTGGAGAAGGTGGGTTTTGGCCCGTGATTCCCTGCTGCAATCTGCAAAATTGTTCACCTTCCAATCGTTGTCGTTTTTTTTAAAAAAAACTTTTTTAGTGCTTTCAAATCTTCAAGAGTCAGAGGTCTTCAGGGGCTTTCAGAGGACTAGTATGATGGGATGGGTTAGGTGTTTCTTTGAATCTCAGGGGAAGGAACCTCATTCCAGAGGGCAGGAGCTGCTACAGAGAAGGTACGCTTCTGGGATCCTGATCAGGGGGTGGGCTGCTGGGGTTTGGGAGAACCTCTAGCTAAGATTCTGTGCAGTTTGGAGAACCCCCAAATCCCACTCCTGGCTGGCCGCGCCTACCCTGCCCCGCCTCTCCCAGAAGTCCCCACGCAGCCCGTTTTGAATGCAGATAAGTGCAGATCATGCATGGAGGCTTGGGGTGGGTGGGTGAACAACGGGCCTACCGGAAGTTCGGAAAGGGCCTCCAGAGCCTGGGAAGGCCATTTTTGCCCTCCCAGAGCCTTGAAGAAAGCCCCCCCCCCACTGTGGTGCAGGAGGCCAACTAAGCCACGCCCACCATGGTCAGGCCTACCCAGCACCTGGGCAGAGAACCCCTTGATAAAATTTTTGAAGCCCACCCCTGGTCCTGTTGTTATTGTTTAATTGAAGGAAGCCAGAGTGCACTAACCCTACCAGACTGGATTGTCCAGGCAGATATTATGGGAACAGGTGGTCCCTCAAGCCCCCTATGCTCTCTTTAGAAGCATAGCAAACAACACCAGGAACCTGGTGGTGCAGTGGACTAAACTACAGTTAAAGTAGTATTTAGCTGCCAGCTGTCTGCAATTACTGCGAGTTCAATTCTCACCAGGCTCAAGGTTGACTCAGCCTTCCATCCTTCTGAGGTAGGTAAAATGAGGACCCGGTTTGTGGGGGCAATAAGCTGACTTTATATAAAATAGAACACCGCTTGGGGGGGCAAAAGCCCTACTAAGCAGGTATATACAAAAGTATGAAGGCTATTTTATAGTGTTGCCAGGTGTCCACTATTTGAGCGGACAGTCCACTTTTTTCACATTATGTTCACTATTTATTTTCACAAAATAGTGGACATTTTTTTTTTATTCAAAAGCTTTATGATGAAATTAAATTAAATTAAATTAAATTAAATGTAATTTAATATTTTACATATTATTATAATATATTTGATGTTTTGAATTTTAAGTAAAGTTTTGAAGTGATTCTTTTAATACGTGTTAAAATGTTTGTAAGAAAATATATAATTTAATTGTAATTTTTTTTTAATTTTTTTACTACTTAAACCCCTCCTCCCCCCTCCCCCGCTTGTCTGCTATTTTTTGGAAGCAGACCTGGCAACCCTATTGCTTAAAAGCATTGTAAGCCTCCCTGAGTCTCCGGAGAAGGGCGGCATATAAATCAAACTAATAAATAAATAATAAATAATTAAACACCTTGAATTGCACCCAGAAGCAAACTGGCAACCATTGTAGTGTGCAAAGCAGAGGTGTTATATGGATATCCCCAGGCGTGCTCATCACTGCCCACACCGCTGCATTCTGGACCAATTGAAGCACCCAGGGGTCTTCAAAGGCAGTGCATGATACATTATATGGATATGGTACATGTGTGTGTGTTGATGAGAAAAAGAAAGAGAGAGAGGCCATCCAACATCCCCAAATTCACCTGCATTTGCTGTTCTGACCTAGGCTCCCCCAGCAGCACGAAGCCGAGTCCTTGTCCCAATAAACCCCTTTTATTTAATTTACAGTGAATTCCTCTCCAGCAAAGTCTTTCTTCTCCCACAGTTTTTCAAGATAATTCACAATTACCAACCTTTATCAGGCTTGGAAAGTGGCCAGGCTGATATCTTTCAGACGCCACAATACTTGGCAAGAATGTAGTAATGAACTAATTGTCTCCTGCAAACTCCACTCCCCTTTCGCTCCTCTTTTATTCCCTCTAGGAGGGCCCATTCATTGTCCACCTGTGGCCTTACTCCCAAATTGACCCTTGCTCTTTAGCTGTTCCCTTCATCTGGCAACTCTGCGCATGCGCACACTGGGAACAGGCTCCATCTGTTCATCTGCCTCACTGATGTCTGACTCCAAAGGCAGCTGATAACTGGCATACGGCTCTGGCCCCCTCTCTGCCTCCGATGCAGAGCCCTCATCAGAGCCTTCCCCAGACTCCAGGACTGGCCCATGTTCCTCCCCAACCTCCTCACTGTCTGAATCTGCTGCCAGATCCGCTGGCAGCCCACAACACTTGCTTTCCTTTCTGTTGTGAAGAAATGTCTTAAACCTGTGCCTAATATGGCACAATATGTCCTGGCATATTTTCTTCCACGTCCTTACAATGTTGCCTTCATCTTGTGCTCAGCCTGTAGAGAAGCAGCCTGATATCTTTAGCTGTACAAGTCTTCAAGGAAAGAGTGAGAATGTGTAAATCTGATTTTCTCATTAATTCCCTTGAAGGGAAACCAAGTCCCTGGATGACCAGTCACTGGGAAGAGAGGAAATAGAGGCAGGATAGGATTTGGCAACGAGGACATTCATGCTGGTAGCTTTCTTCTGACTCAAGGGTAGCAGGATAATGCTCTATATGGTTGGCGAGCAGTTCAACTCCGCAATGGGGAAAAAACCTTTGGTTGCATAACTTCTGAGTTGTTCTTGTAGCTTATTTGTCACAGCAATTAATAAAGACTCTTTTTATTCTTCTGAGCAGGGGTGTCAAACTCAAGGTCTGCGGGCCAAATCTGGCCCATGGGGTGCTTAGATCTGGCCCACAGGTGGCCCTCCCGAGCTCTGATTTTGCTGGCAGAGTGCTCAGACCACCAGAGGCAGGAGTGACATTGAGCTAACCATGCCCCCTGGCCATACACCCCGGTCACACACCTCGGCCACACACCCTGATCCAGGGGTGAAATCCAGCAGGTTCTGGAGAACCGGTAGTGGAAATTTTGAGTAGTCCAGAGAATCAGTAGCAGAAATTTTGAGTAGTTCAGAGAACCAGCAAATACCACCTCTGGCTGGCCCCAGAGTGGGGTGGGAATGGGGATTTTGCAGTATCCTTCCCCTGGAGTGGGGTGGGAATGGGGATTTTGCAGTATCCTTCCCCTGGAGTGGGGTGGGAATGGAGATTTTGCACTGCCATGCCCACCAAGCCACGCCCACCAAGCCACGCCCACAGAACCGGTAGGAAAAAAAATTGGATTTCACCACTGCCCCGGTCCCCCCGAGGTCAAACACAACCCTGAAGAGGCCCTCAATGAAATCAGGTTTGACACCCCTGCTCCCGAGTGTCCGATTTGTGAATGATTAAGGCTCTCATTAATTCCAAATACTCATAGAAGAAGCAAACTGAATGATCTTTGATGACCATTGTTCCCTCCTTATTTGTTTGTTCCTGCTTAGGTGATGCATTTCGGGGATACAGAAAAGAAGATAACCAGGATACATTACCTTTCAGTACCTTTGATGTGGATAACGATGGTTGCAATCCAGCCTGCTCTCTCCAAGAACCGCCTATCAAGAGCTGCAGCAACTTTAGTGAGAAGACAGGCTGGTGGTTTAACCAATGCGGTCTTGCCAATCTTAACGGTGTCCACAGATTCACAAGGAAGTTGCTGGTATCGGGTATCCAGTGGGACACCTGGAAGGTTGATAACAAGCCAGTTAAAATTAAATCTGTGTCAATGAAGATCAGGAGAACATACTTCAGATAAGAGGATAACGTCATCAACATCCAGAAATTAGGCTGTCTAATAGCACTTCCTGGTCTAATATGCATAACATTTTAGCGTAACGATTTATTGAAAGATTTGAGGCACTTTGCACACTGCATTATTTTGCAATTGCACTCTTCAGGACAATGTAATTATATTTCCACCATAAATGCATTTGTGATATTTTACTGCACCACTGAATGCATCAATGACTTACTGTATTAGCATGCCATTACCAGATTGGAAAACTATAAGCACGATAATTCCAATTCCCCTCCTTTGCTACTGCTGATCAACTTTTCTTTAGAACAGTCAGCAGAAATGCAGACCTGCAAATTTAAAATATCAGCTTTATTTTAAAAGAAAGGATATGAAAAGGAACATAATTGCACAAGCAATTGTAGTAAATCAGCAAAGGTAGTAAACCATAGGGCCGGATGAGAGATGCTTTTTTACTTTTTTAGTGAATGATGAAAATGGGGGAATAATCCTCAACATGGTTAAATATCTGACTATGCAAAGATAACGTTCAGACTGAGGTTAAACTTTTGTTTTTTAGAGATAAGAGAAGAATACAGTTAGTCCTCTTTAAGCAACTGTTCGTAGTTAGGACAGAGATGAACACGTTTGAGACCGACCCTTGCATTTATGGACTTTGCAGGTCTGTAGAGCAAAGGAAAGTTGAAGTAAGATCATAAGCACAGTGGTGGGTTCACTTAGTGACCACTTTGCTTAACAAACAAGTTGCTGGTCCCTGCTGGGGTCATTAAGTGAGGACTACCTGCCCTGGGGAAAAGGCCCAGGGGTGGGCTACTGGGGGTTCACAGGGGTTCGGGAGAACCTCTAGCTAAGATTCTATGTAGTTCGGAGAACCCCCAGAACCCCCACTCCTGGCCGGCCCTGCCCACCCTGCCCCTCCCTTCCCAGGAGTCCCCATGCAGCCTGTTTTGGATATAGTAAGTGCAGGGCACGCGCAGAGGCCCAGGGAGGGTGAAAAAAAGGCCTACCGGAAGTTCGGGAAGGCTGGAAACGGGCCCATTTCCGGCCTCCAGAGGGCCTCTGGAGCCTGGGGAGGCCATTTTCGCTCTCCCGGAGACTTGAGAAAAGCCTCTGGAGCTCAGGAAGGGCAAAACGCCCCACCCCCCGCCGTGGTGCAGGAGGCCGACTAGGCCATGCCCACCATGGCCACGCCCACCCAGCAACCAGACAGAGAAACCCTTGCTAAAATTTTTGAAGCCCACTCCTGAAAAGGCCTTCTACCTTATTTGAGGCTGGTTATTTGCAATAGATAGCTTCTTTGCAGTACAGGTAGTCCCCGATTAATGTTCTGTTCACATCATTAATATCTGGAATGTGTTCTGTTCTCTTTAACAAATGCTTTGTTACAGCCTTTTAAAATAAATATTATCACTTGGCATTTCTATCGTGTGGCACTGTTGAGAGAAAATAGCACAGCTCTGATCATATTAAAGTCCTATGGTTAACAATCACGAGTTACTGAAACCAGTTGCCCGAGTATGTACACTACACTCTACCATAAAATAACTACAAGGAGTGGATTCATGCAACATACCTGGCTTCCAGGCAGAGTGAGGAATGGGTATAAAAATGTCTGCCTGCTTTGTAGTATGCTGTGGGAAGATATACATCTGGTTCAAGCTGGGAGAAAGCCACTGGAAACATGGAGGCTGATTGGAAAGATGGTTTATTGATGAAGCAGAACCAAATGGGGTTATGGTTCTGGGCAGCGGACAAAATGGAGTTGAAAGTGGAGGGGGGTGTTATACCTTTTTTGGGCTTTGTATTTGAGCTTCCTGTTCCTGCGCAAGAACATGTCCTTTAATATTCAGTTGGCTGTTGTCAGATTCCTATGGGGTCATGTAGGGGTCATAGCTGGCTCTATAGGCAAAAGAGAAAATGCAAATATTTTTTAATATTTCCCAAAATATTTCATCCTTCTAAGAGGGGTAGACGTTGACTTTCTACAATGCTATTCAAAATTTTTCAACTTGTTGCAGAGATGAGATAAGAACTCTCAGAATTCCCAAAAATCGTTGCCTGGAATTCTGGAGTTCTTTTATTAGAACATTTGGAGAGGTCATGTTAGGGGCAGTTGTAACATAATGGACATTTTTTTAATTTCCCCATTTGGTCCCTTTTCTCCATGCTAACTTTAATTTTAATGAAAGCTATTATTTAAAATGATTCTTAGTATTACTCAGCAGCTGAGAAAAAGATGTTTTCTGCATTAAGTGAGGAAATCGGGCTCTAACTGACGTGGCAGTAGATGTAGACTGCTTTAAACATCTGGACAGAACTGAGCAATTTAGTCCAAGAATTTTGCTTTTTCTCTGAAAAGTTTATGGTCTGGGTTGCATAGCCTCTGAAATGCACTTTGATGGCAAGCCTTCAGTGTCTCTCTGTCTCTCTAAATGAAGTTAGCTGAATTCTCAGTAAAGTCCATTTATTTACATATTGCCAATTGCTCCTGGATCTGCAAAGTTCCTCGGTGAGAAGCACATATTTAGTGCAGGGAACTTAAATAGGGCAGAGAGTGGTTTTGAAAAGACCGAGACGGCAGTTTTTAGCATTCTTTGGGAAATTAAGGGAGATAACCTTACAAGTGCCTGAAAGTCTCCAAACTGGAGAGCCAATTTGGTGTAGCGATCAAGGTGTTGATTTAGAAACCAGGCGACGGTGAGTTCCAGTCCCACCTTAGGCCCAAAGTCACCCAGCTGGGTGACTCTGGACCAGTCAGTTTCTCTCAGTCCAACTCACCTCACAGAGTTGTTGCTGCAGGGAAGGGTGAGGAAAAGGGAAGGAGGAAGGAATATTATGTATGTTTGCCACCTTGTATCAGAACTGCCATCATTGGCTTGAGCTTTGCATTCGCTAGCTGCCAGTCTGTCATGAACTATGAGGTGGGGGGGGGGGGGGGGAGTAGGTTGGGGAGTGGGGAAGGCTAACTATCCATTGTGCCATCCATAGACACCATCTCAAGGTCAAAGTGCTGGGAATGGAATGCAACAGCTCACCAACTATCCCCCACTTCCGCCCGTTGAAGAGATAATTCCCTAAATAATTTATTCAAATACTATTGAACAATAAGGGAGGAACTGAGGAGGAACTGAACAGGAAAGTTAACCAAGAAAGTTTGGTATGCGAACTTCAGTTCTGGCTCTGCTAATACTGTAAACCACTTAGCTTTTAGTAAAATGTATCTTTCACTACAAACTGAGTAGAGGGTCTTTCTTGCCTAAAAGACCAAGTTGGGGCAGGTCTGATACCTTGAGTTGTTTATACAGTGGGTAATCAACTGCTCTGAAACTCACTGAATTTGGTACTCAAAGCATTCTGATATGAAAATTTTGTCCTGGTACTTATTGTTTGTTGGGTACTCAATGCACAAACTAGAACTTGTTGGTGTTGGCTGCCTTGTGACTCGGTACATTATTCGTTATGGGAAAAAAATGTTTGGTACTCATCATTTTTAATACTCATTGTGCCTCCCGGAACCAATTAACCATGAGTACCGAGGTACCACTGTAAAATAATAAAAGTAGGATAAAAAAAAAATTAAAACAAAGTTGTAGTTAGTGCAAAATGTACAGGGTAGGCTGTTAACTCAAGAAGATATGGAAACATGAAAGTTGTGCGACATCAGTGTTAAAGGATTTGTACTGATTGCCAGTCTCTCTCCCAGGAAGCATTCATTCATTCTGGTGTTGGTGTCAAGCTTGATTATCTAAAAATTTATAGCATAACTATTTGTGGAACTGCCCCTTTCATTACAAAGTTGACTAGATTCAAAGAACTGCAGAAGAACTTTTGCAGAACTGGCTGATCTACAGGCTTATTTATTTTATATGTGGGGGAAAAATAGGCTTTCCAACATCCCCCCCCCCTTCATGGTATTCATTTTACTCCCTGATGAATATGTATGCATACTGTATACATACTGTATGCATATGTATATGTATATGTATATGTATATGTATATGTATATGTATATGTATATGTATATGTATATGTATATGTATATGTATATGTATATGTATATGTATATCAGTGGTGGGTTGCTCCCGGTTCGGTCCGGTCCGGTTCTATAGAACCGGTAGTAAAACCGGCAGGAGACTCCGCCCACCTACCACGACATCATCATAGGTGATCTGGTATTCAGCCGGTTCTATCCGGTTCGGGCAAACCGATAGGGGCGACTGCAGGATGCCCCACCCACCCACGTGGATGTCATGATGTCCCATTTTTGCAAGTTTTCGAGGCTCTGAGCATGCACAGAAGGCCTTGCGCATGCACGGAAGATGTGCATGCGCATGCACGGAAGGCGCGCATGCACATCGCGGAAGATGTGCATGTGAACCAGTAGGAAAGGTAAGTAAATACCAACCCTGATGTATATCCATCAGTACGCTGATGATACTCAGCTGTACATCTCCACCCCAGACCATCCCAACGATGCCTTGGAAGTGATGTCCCAGTGCCTGGAGGCCGTGCGGGTCTGGATGGGGAGAAACAGGCTCCGACTCAACCCTTCCAAGACCGAGTGGCTGTGGCTGCCGGCGTCCCGGTATAGCCAGCTGACGCCATCGCTGGTTATTGGGGGTGAATCATTGGCCCCCACGGAAGGGGCCCGCAACTTGGGCGTCCTCCTGGATGCACGGCTGTCCTTAGAAGGGCATCTGACGGCCGTGGCCAGGGGGGCTTTTTATCAGGTTCGCCTGATACGCCAGTTGCGCCCCTTTCTGGATCGGGACTCCCTACGCACAGTCACTCAAGCACTCGTCACTTCTCGTCTGGACTATTGTAACGCTCTCTACATGGGGCTCCCCTTGGGGTGCACCCGGAGGCTCCAACTGGTGCAGAATGCGGCCGCGCGGGGGATTATGGGAGCGACTGGGCGCTCCCATGTGACTCCTCTCCTGCGCGAGCTGCATTGGCTTCCGGTGGACTTCCGGGTGCGCTTCAAGGTGTTGGTGACCACCTTTAAAGCGCTCCATGGCTTAGGGCCGGGGTACTTACGGGACCGCCTTCTGCCACCAATTGCCTCCCACCAGCCAGTTCGCTCCCACAGAGAGGGCCTCCTCAGGGTGCCGTCGGCTAGACAATGCTGGCTGGCGACCCCCAGGAGGAGAGCCTTCTCTGTGGTGGCACCTACCCTTTGGAACAATCTCCCCCCAGAGATACGAGTGATCTCCGACCTCCGGACCTTTCGTCGGGCCCTAAAAACTCATCTCTTTCAGTTAGCCGGTCTCTCTTGATTTTATGATTTTATGGTTGGTTTTAAATTTTGATATGGATTTTAAATTGATAAATTTTAAACTATGGGCCAAATTTAATTATTTTAAATCTATTTTTAATCGTATTTATGTATAAATGTTTTTATTTTGGCTGTTCACCGCCCTGAGTCCGAAAGGAGAAGGGCGGTATAGAAATTCGAATAATAAATAAATAAATAAATAAATATGTGTGTATACAGAGAGAGAGAGAGAGAGAGAGAGAGAGAGAGAGAGAGAGAGAGAGAGAGAGAGAGAGAGCGCTGTACATGGAGTAAAAACAAATCTAAAAAAAAGAATGAAAGAAAAAAGGAAAATGTTCAAGAAGAGAAAAAAAGAAAAGGAGGAAACTAAGTTTACGAAATGCAATGACTTCCAACCTTCTCTTCAACAGATAATTACATTCTTATAATCCTCTTTTCCTCTTAGATGTTATCCTTTCAGCCCCTCACTAATTCCACGTCTGTTTTACTCCCCGTTGTCTTAATCTTTAGAGGAGTAAGCAAACCACATCTGTTTTATCCGTAAATTAAATTGAATGTTCAGAGATGGTATTTTTTATTTGTCTTTTGAAGTCTGCTTTTCAGCTTTCCTCAACAGATTTGGAAAGGGTCTTGTGAGGCAGGATTTAAATCAAATCAGTTCATTAAATACACACAGACTATATGCCATGGTTTGAAAGGCTAACACGGAAAGATGCTCAAAAAAGTGTCTCTCAAGCGCACAAGTGAAGTTAAAGGAGTGTTTTTCAAGTCTGGTAATTTTAAGGCAGAGGTGGGGCTCAGGAATTCTGGGAGTTGAAGTCCACAGGTCATAAAAGGGCCATCGTTCCCAAACCCTGCTTTAAGGTGTATGAACCAGGGGTGGGTTCTACTCATCTTTACTACCGGTTTGCAATGGGGCTGCTCGCGCGCGCTTGCTTCACTCACACACACTTGCACTTCTGCACATACGCAGAAGCTTCCTGATGACGTTGGGGTCGGTGGGTGGAGCCTCCTGCCAGTTTTACTACCAGTTCTATAGAACCGGTCCGAACCGGGGGCAACCCACCACTGGTATGAACATCAATTCCCAGAATTCCTCAGCCAGCACTCTGGCTACAGAATTCTGGGGTTAAATTCCACACATCT